GTTTTCTCTTATTCTCCAACTTAACTTTCTTACAATACGTTTGCAAACCTTAAATAGAGATTACAAGTATCCTGGGAAGTGAAAGAAACCGAACCCAACAAGGTAAGCCAAAATATTCCTAATTCTAATACAAAACGGAAACTTAAAATGCAAGTAACTAGCTGATGTTGATACCAACTTTGAGACCCTCGTTCTCCATCCTCCCAACTCCAATTGGGTCACCCAATACCTTGTTTCTGTACTAGAAAATGCGAACTTTCATGTGGAATAAACCTTGAAGCCCGATTCCCAGCCGTTTGTCGTGCCCTGAGCTTCGAAGTGGCCTTCTCGGAACTGTCCCATGCCTTAGGCAAAAACTGGCAGTTTGCCTGTGTTGGGATAGACTTTTGATGAGCCCGAAAACCACTCTTCCCAGCTTCAACTCGAGCTTCCAGACACTCCACGTCGCAAAGGGAGTTACCATATTCAAAACAAACCTTCCGAACCCCATTTTCATCCATCCAATCGAGAGAAATATACTCGCAAAGAGAGCTACCCGAAACAGCTTCCACACTTAGCCAAAATCCCAGGTCTTTCCAGCAAGTTGAATTGGGTTCTTGTCTCAACAATTTCCACTTGTAGATCGATCCGTTTGGGATCATATCAGTACTAATACTGACTTGGTGGCTGATAAGATTAAGCAATGTATTTGTGGTTTGGTGCTTGATTACCAAACCAAGTCTGAGAAGAACAATTCTGGTTCTTCAACTGCTTATGATAGTTCTTCTACTCCTGCAAATGATGATCTTGATTTTGAACTGTTTGTGAGTCGGAGGAAAAAAAGCAAAGCAACTGTGGTCCATACTAAACTGGATCACTATCTTCTTGAGGAACTGATTCCTAAAAGGTCTCCTGACTTTGATATACTGATGTGGTGGAAACTGAATGGCCTTAAGTACCCCACTTTGCAAGCAATTGCAAGGGATTTCTTGGCCATACCTATTACATCAGTGGCTTCTGAATCTGCTTTTAGCTCTGGTGGGAGGTTAATAGACCCTCATCGGAGTAGATTGCACTATGGTACAATAGAGGCAATGATGTGTACCAGAAGTTGGATTATGGAGGAAATGCAACAAGGTAATCTGCAATTACTTGTCTTTTTCATTATAATGTTAACTGGATTGAATATTAATTGTCTTTTTCATTGTTTTCTTCAATCTGCAGAATCATCGAAGGCTGCTGTAGAGGCAATGGAAGGGGTGTTCTCTGCTCTAGCAATTTCAGATTCCAGTACTGAAGATCAAGACGAAGCTAGTAAGATAGTTGGTTCTCGATTTTGGCTTCTTTGTAATTAGTTCAATTTAGATTGGTACTTAGTTTGATAGTTTCAATCTCTAACTGTATTTTTTTATTCTTGCAGTTCAAGGGGGACTTGTGATGAAGAAGCATCTAATATCCCTAGATGGCTAATTTGTTGAAAGCAATGAAAGGTTCAAGGTATTGAGCCAGACTTGAGGCTTTTTAACTTGTTCAATTTAAGAGTGACTTTCACTTATCTAACTGTGTTTGCTACTCTGTTTCTTGCAGTGATTGCTTTTCATTTTTCAAGGATGAATGCTGCTGTTGAGTTGGTTTCCAGCAGCATAGTGTTGCTTGCTTTTTGGAAGAAAAGATCAAAGGAACTCGTGTGTGCTATTAGTATAGGTTTTAGTTCGATTTATGGATGATGTTATGGGGCCTGTCAGCCTTTGTTTTTGTATCTCTTCCTTTTGAACTTGAACACTAGTGTAGTGTAGAATATGTTATATGGGTTTTGGGTGGTGGGTTTTGGTTGCAGCAGCTTCTTTGGTTGCTGCAACCTATCACTTTTGTTTCATTGTTTGAACAATAAAGATCTGGGTGTTGGGTGGTGGGAGGGTTACAGCCCCAGATGTTCCTTTTGTGTTTTGAATTTATGTGCCTTGAACATCAAGGTACTTTGAAGTTTGAATTTCAGGGATTTTTTGTTAGTTTTTTCCTTTTCTTTTTATTTTTCTCAGGATCCGTGGTGATCCGTGGTTTACCCGAACCCGTCTGGGGACGGTGACGGAAACCAAACGCGCCCCGACAAAGGGATGGGGACGGGGATGGGGAAATCCGTTGGCCTTGACGGATGGGTAACGGGAACTAGCTACCCGTCCCTGATCCGCCCCTTTGCCAAGCCTAAGTTTTTTGGTTCTGAAATCAGGCGGGACTCCTTTTTTTTTTTTCGCTTAACACTCTGCCACATCAGCTTCCTAAAATCACTCTATGGGCAGGAAATTTTGAATGGGGGGTGCAGTTTTACTTTTCAGCTATAAATTATACTGTTGATATATTTAATGCAGTCGTTTCTTTTTGTTGGTTGTTGGTGGTATGTGTAACATAACCAATTCCATAGGAAGAGCTTCTTAGATGGTCGCACAAGGAATTCTTGATTAAAAGCGGTTCAAAAATCTTTCTCGGAGTCAAATTTGAAATGATACAAGCAATCGTGGTAAAACGTCTACGTCAACCCTGTCAGCTTTATTATACTAAAATCCTTGTTCTTAATTTTAATTAGGTTCAAGAAATAATAATATCCTAATTATCATTAACCACCAATTAACCACTAACTTTCTATTAACTACTTAAATTACTCTAAGCCAATCGAAATTTACTTAAACATACTTCTAAATTTGTAGCAGTGGCTCCAATTGACATATTTTACGAGTTTCTGGATCTACTAGGACGCAAACTCAGATATTCTATCTAGCCGATCTTGGTTTACAATTAACTTTACTATTACACTAGTTAAAAACGCAACTTAAACTAGTAACTAAGGCAATCAAAGTAAATGAGGGGTTTCTAGAGTGGGAAGGCTCGCTTGGCCCAAGAATCCCTATAGCTATATGTGTTAAACTGCTGCAGCCTTGATGTTTTGTTGATAGCAGAGATGGGTTAGCTAGCTCAGAGAGAGATGTAAGGGGAAAGAGCCAGTTTTGTTGGAGTAACTGACTTGAGCCCATTCTCATTGAATTCCAGGCCAGTGCCTGCTGCGAATGATCAACCAATTTTAGTCGGATTTATCCCATTCGAAGCACATTCGCCTTACCTATATACTAGCTTGTACCCTGCCCTTTGGGCAGGTGATTTTAGGGGTCGTTTGGAGAACAGGATTCTGGACGTGGATTTACTGAATCCGTAGAATTTGTAGAAAGTTATATTTTTTTGTTGCTTTTTGTACTGTGGATTCGAGCTTTAGAGATTTCAAATCTCTAAAATCTGCGGATATCAAATCTCTCATAATCAGATAGATTCTATATCTTGATTCGTGAGATTTTTTTTCTCATAGTTTTTCTCTTACTTTTAGTTATTTATCACATGAAATATATTTATCAACAAAAAATTTAATATTTATTGAACCACTCTAATTTTTTTATCAAGGATAAACATTTTATTTAATATAAAATTAAATTTCTTATTTTAATTGAATGTTAACAATCACAGTTACCAAACAATAAACATATTAAAATCAGTTTTCAACAATCTGGAGAGTTAGAATCGTTGGATTGTTGACAATCTGTAGATTTAAACTAAAATTGACAATCAGTTTTCAATTTTATGAGATTGTTATCATTTTGATAGAAATTTTAAATCTTCTTATTTAATATTTATGCAAACTAACGGTTGAAAATTACCGGAGGAAAAACAGTTAAACTTATCAAAATACAAAATGACGGCAAAACACTGATGATTTAAACAAATAATAACATTGTCAAGTTAACATAATTATACTTAATAAAACATCAACTCATTTTAATTAAGAAGATTATTTTGTAATCAATAATTTAGAAAGAAAGAAAAACATCTTTTTAGAAGATGATTTAGTAATCAATAATTTAGAAAGAAAAAAAAACATCTTTTTCTTAAAAAAAACTTTTATCAGAAAGAGTCCTATCTTTTGCGTGTCTTCTTCTACCTCTTGTCTTCCCCATCATCACCACCAACCAACAACACTCCATCCGCTGCCACCTCTTCCCACTGCATCTTCCCGTTCCTTCAATCCTTCTCCGAAATGCCTAATCCCAATCCCACCACACGAAGCATCGATAGCCCAATCCCTCTTAATTGCTCTCTATCTTACTTCTTATTGGACCGGGCAAATCTCTCACCTCGTCTCCAAAGGTAGGGATTTGGTCGAACTTTGCGCCGCTCAACTTGTAGGATCAAGAGGTTGCTGCATCGTAAAATAGAATAGGGTTCCTGGGGGGAATCTTTTGAAGGTATGGCCGCCGGTTTCAGAATGGATAGTTGGGCTTGTATTAAAATCTTCCTTGAGTATGTGTCGATTTACAAATTCGAGATCTAGGCTTTTGAGGCCGACGCCGACACCAGAAAATGGGAGGAGGAAGTTTCGGAATAGGAATCGTCATTCAATGTTAAGAAATTAGGGATCAAGAGATTTTAGAGTTGAAAGGGTTGGGTATGATGAGAAGTGAGATGCATAAGGGGAATCCACAATTTTATTATCGTTGCGAGGAAGACTTCAGAGGGAGAAGAAACTGCGGATTTCGATTTTGATGGAGCATGAACCCTAAATCTCAATTGTGGATTGCAGAAGAAGAAATGAAGTGGAGGAAGTCTACAATGTATAGGGAAAAGCATCCAAAAAGCTTTAATAAATGATTCTTAAAAAAATAGAGCAACACGACGATTGGAAGGGAACGGTTTAGGGAAAAGAAAAATTAATAAAAAAGAATTCCGAAAGTTGCGGGGAAGCCAAAGAGGCTGACGTGGATGAGGGGTTTTTGAGAAACCCTTTTATATATTTTATAGATAGATAGATTTATAGATAGATAGATGTTTCTTTGTCAATGCATAGTCGACCGGGTCCAGCCCAGACGAACTGATCCGTCTGAATTCTTGCTGTTGGGCTGGGCCGGGGCCTGCCAGGGACCATGGTATTTTAGACAGACCGAGAAGGAAAAAGAAGTCACTTCCTGCAAGGACTTGGAATTTATTTAGTATATAAATCAATCGAACCGCTGCTCTCCCACAACACTCAGCAAGCAAGCAAGCAATCTTTCTTTCATGGTCTCTGCGCGTGTGGCCATGGACGCTCTGAAGTCCCGTCTCGGTTTTATTTTATGGATGTTAAATTTGGCGCTGGTGATGCTCTTTGTTCACTTCATCCTGCCATCTTTCGTCCCCGGCGACGCGGCAGGGATTTTGCTCCGACTGTTGAAGGATGCGCCTTCAATAGCTATAATGGTCAAGGCATGGCTTGCGATATGGGCGTGGCGGAAAATGGATCGTCACCTCCGCAACAAGCACGAGTTGGGTTTGGTCGATCTGTTGAGGAATTCTTTTGACGGAGCTGAGAGGAGCTTGATTCCGCTGTTGCAGGAGTATCCCTTCATACTTCCCGCGTTGCTTGCGTTATGGGCTTGGCAGGCGCTGGGCTTGGGCTCTTTCTTCTGTATGCTTGTTTGTGTCTTCCTTTTACGTTCTTGATCCATTCTCTGTCTTTGGTTTTTTTTCCCCCTCCCATTCCAGCTTAAGAGACAAGGTAACTGTGTGGTTGTTGGACATTGAAATATTATAATATAATAATAATATATTTAATGCAGTCGAGTTGCCTTTTGTTGGTTGTTGGTGCTATCTATGTAACATAGAAAGAGCTTCTTTGATGGTCGCACAAGGTAAGTTTATGGGCTTATTGATTAAAAACTCGTACCGGTTGAACCCACAAAATATCGTTTTCGGACTCATCAAATTCGAAACGATACAAGCAGCCGTGTTAAAAACGTCTACGTCAACCCTGTCAGTTTCATTATACTAAAATCCTTATCCTTAATTTTTATTAGGTTTAAGAAATAGTAATACCCTAATCATCATTAACCACCTATTAACCACTAACTTTCTATTGCCTACTTAAATTGCTCTTTAAGCCAATAGAATTTACTTAAACATACTTCTACATTTGTAGCAGAGGCTCCAATTGTCATATTTTACGAGTTTCTAGATCTACTAGGAATCAAAATTAACCATCATTAACCACCTATTACAACCAACTTTTTATCCCCTCCATCTTCAATCTCTCGACGTATATGTTTTAAACCAAAATTCAATTTTTAATCCTCCTTCTACAACTCCATTTATGCTACTTTGATGGACCTTCTCTCCATGAACCTGAATTTCTCTTTCAATTGAGTTTCTTGTCAGTTTGATATCCAACTCCTCATTCCTCGTTCTTGTATTTGGCCAACTCATCTTCCTCGGGGCAGTTTTAATAAGCTCGTAAAACCAACACTCATCTTCAATTCCATCAATATGCTCTTCTCCTTCTTCTCTGCCTTCACCTGATCCAGTTCACTTCCATGCCCTTCAATACCCTCTTCATTTTCATTAATATCCTGATCATCTACCACTTCTCTCTCTTCAACTGCTCCGATTTTGCTTCTATGTCTTTCAATGCCCTCTTTGGTTCAATCACTACCCTGACCAACTGCCTCTTCACTGCCTTCACTTGTTGCAAACTACTTCCATGACTTTTATACACCTTCCTCAAAATCACAATCAACTAACCAATATCAATCCATGGCCTTGGATCAGTTTTAGACTCTCTATGAACATCTCAAAACCACAAAGTCTAAATCTAAATATTCTTTCATTTAACATGAATTTGAGTTTATCAAAATCTAATCCTCTCCTTCTAAGTTGGAATTCCCATCCCCCAAGCTCATTTTTGGTTCATTTGATCCCACTTAACCGTGATATTATACCTCTAACTAAAATAAATCAAAGCATTTTACGAAAAGAAGCTGAACCATGAACTTTACCTGCTACCAAATCCAAACACAATTTCTTCCCTTCACCACTTCGCTTAATCCTTTCCCAAACCCAATATCAACTTTTACTCCAAGTACGAACCCCCAACTCCCAGTGTGTTGCGTGAAAGCTTAATTTTAGCAATCATTATGCTTGCAATTAGATTAATGGACACCATCAAACGCCAAAATTCCACAAGACGATGAGTTGTCTTCACTTTGAGTTTTGTCATAAAACTGTTGGCCCCATATGTTTATCAGTTTGGAGGCCATATGATGAGCAATACCGAATCAGTTGCAGCGAAGTTACCAGTCACAGTAATGACAATGTGAAACATGTGTTAACAAACGCGAATATGGGTTACTTTTATGGATTGACATTAGAATGATGGGATTGGACAATGAGATCGTCCTTAGTTAAGCGACATGTAAATTGGTCATTTGGTATGGAGGACACAAACCGTTAAAATTCTAAATTATTTGGGTGAGTTTGTATTTAGTGTTTTCAAGTGGGATATGAGTTAGGTGATTAAAATATCTAAACCCAAATGAACCAACCCACGCACACCCCTAGGAAGAGTTTCAAAACTTAGTATTTATCCGGACAAAAATGTTTAGAGAACCAGTCCCCTATAGTTTGCATAAAGATATGATTGCTTCACTATAATTCTGGAAATTAATGATAATTTAAGAATTCTATATCGCTTCTACATATTCAATACTATAATTCGATATGAAATATTCGAACCATCAAGATTCTGGTTGCAAATTTATGGTTATTGTCTATTTATAGTATAGATAAAATTTTAAATGAAGTATTAAACTATAATTAAATAAAAATATCAAAATTAAAGTATCAAACACAAAATAAGTACTTACGGAATATTTATTGGGCTAGCTAACTATTGAAAAGTTTTGTGATTTCATATTTTAGCTTCGTATATATTTTTAATTTAAAAAAATACAACAAATCTACATAGTCTGATTGATTTTAAACCTTTACTTTATTTGAAGTGACCATGGTTCAAATCTCAATATGTCTATCTTCAAACCTCACCATACTCACCATACAACTATGATTCAGGCATTTGAGGGGAGGAGTGAACAAATACGATTATGGCTACTACACTATCAAGCAACAGTTTGGCATTTCATAATGTGCAAGTTGAAGAAAAGTACCAGGTAATCAGCTTCTTTGATGTGAGGGAACACACCGCCTCCATTCCGAACCATCCAAAGGAACTTACTGATATCATCACTAGGGTAGCCAAAAAGACCTGTAACAATCATACTTTTACTTTAGGAAAGCTGATTCAAAAGGATTCAAGATAAATGCTGTCTTTAGAAGATTGAGGCTGGAAGGAAGGACACCTCCAAAGACATACTTCACATCCAGTGAATGGAAGATCTCCCAGGCTTGCTTCTCAGGGGAAGACATGGTTGTGCCAACAGTTGCCATATGAGTGTTGTTGTCGACTAAAAGATTGCGGGACTAGCCATAAGCAGTTGTTTGATAGCCATGGTCCCAACATGACGCGACCTACAACAGTCAAAATCCTTCAGTCTGTGGAAGCGGCTGGTGTATAATGTAACATTGTTATTTACATCTGAATCAAGTGTCATCAGGTCAACCATTCAGAAGACAATGTAAACATCCTAATTTTCCACAAAATTTTTAGCTGATATATCTTATGTTGTCACAAGCCCTTGCGAGTTTCAACGATGAAGTGACATTTTGAAACCAGTATGTCTGCAAATAAACGGAAGGAAAGAGAGAAGAGAGTAATCATACTTTATGATCCACGTCAGAGTATTGTGGCTCAACCATGAATAGACTTCTCTAAAATCATCAAAAACATGCAAGCTACCATTATCCCAGTGAGATGTTAGAACAATGGAAGGGGCTGAATAAGCTTCTGCTGCTGCCCATACACAATGAACCTGTACAGAAACACAGATTTCTAATCAGTTCTATCTCCCAACTCTAGTGGTATAAATTCTTTATTAAAGCTAATTGCAAAAAGAAAGAAAGAGACAAACCACCTAGCAATGCAGCAACATTGCGGATGCAGCAGGCTCTACTAAGATTCAGAAGTTCCATTCCTCAACCAAACCATCGATCCAAATGAACCTTTCTTGTCACTTTTCTATGCTATAGTCTTCCTCTTGCAATCCCATAGGATTGTTTATATCCGCAGGACGTATGCTAAAATCCTTCATGCGGTGAACTTCACAACCATATACTCCAGTTGTGATGATCATCTCCATATAAATCATGCTTGCTGGAGAAGCCATTTTTACGGCAACAGTTGCAGATCCGAGAGAATGACTCCTGTAGATTTGATTTCTAAGGTGAGAAACATCCTATAGCAAGCACCCGAAATGATTCCCAAAAGGATTGGAACTCATTTCTAGATTTTAACAGCGTATGGAAAGATAGTAGGTAAAAGGAGCATTGTCTACCAAACTCCCAAGTTAGACAACAATCCCTAGGTTTCTTCCATCCTCTGTCAGAACAACTAATATCTGTCTCCTCCTAAGTTCACAAACAACTTGCAGCAGCAAGAAAGCCAACTTCATCGCTGCGATTAAGCCCCGATGGTCCAGTTGTAGCCAATAGCAGATAGGCAAACGAAAAGACACAATAATCCCTAATGATCAATCGCAAGACCAGCCCCACTTTTCTCTCCAAGGACTATTAAAGAACAATAATAATCTATAAAATCTTATAGTTGAAAATGGAAAGCAGAAGAGTGGCTTTTAGTTTACCAACCTGGCAGGATAGGATTGATCGATGGCGCCAGGCAGCATGTATCTCATCCTAGTAAGCCATGAATCTGCACAGGATTAGACATCAACATTAGGCCTGCGAAGTGCAGATAGAAGAATGGAACTGATTTTCCCCACTGTACTTCATGAACTCATAAGACTAAAAATAAAACAAACATCTCAACCCGCAAAGGAATCTATAGAGTTGTCAGAATCTCTACTTCGTTGCCTGCATGGACAACACTGACCATTTCTCTTCAAGGTTAAGGTGTGCATTAGCCTCATCAGACAGCAAAACACACACACACACACACGTATAATAACTCTCTTTGCCCTTTGATTCCCTTATTATTGACAACATATCTGTAATAGAAAGTTAGCGTACTAGAACATCCATTTCATGAAGCAGCTTTGAGTTGCAATACTCTAGACCGCAGAGCCTCTGGTTCAGCCTGTTTCCCAACCTGAAAAAAGCAATTCACAGTATCCAGAAATCTGAGATTACCAAACGACAGACCAGTAAGAAGTAAGAACTATGAAGTGCTGTAGCAAAAGCAGTCCTTTGTGGCAGAAGAATTATTCAAATAGGGACAATATTCCAAAACCACTACACCACATAATCAATCCAGTTAATGATTTACTGGATTGAATAAGTAGAAGAGAAAAACTTATGATACCTGTTGTTGCTGATTATGAGTTTTGAGAGACCATTCGTAGCTCACCAAGAGAGCATGGACTCAAATCCCGATCAGTCCTCTGCACAAATCACAGGTGAGTTATAGGAATCTAATATATAAGCAATGTATCTAAAGATAACAAAAGGAAGTTCGACACTAATATGATTGGAAGAGGCGGTAAGACTTGAACCTGCTAGAGACGTAGCTCAGTCCTGCTTCATAACAACATAATTGGAAGGACGGATGATAGACCGATAATAGCACATGTTTTTACCCCTATTCTTGAGCCGTTTGAGATGTTGATTCTCGTGTTTTAAGCCAATTTCACGTTA